TTATCTAAAGCGCTACAAATTTTTTTGCCAGTCATCTACAATATATATTAAAAAATTAAATCATTTCACCATATTGTCTCAAGCTCCCATTATAATTCCACATGTATCATACTGTGGAAAATTTCCTTCCCTTGCCAACTAACCATCCAATGGAAATATTCAGCACAATCTAGAGGATTAAATAAATAAAACTAATCTAAAGTCTCATAAGAAATTCTCTAACCAGATAAATAGGACAGAATCACCAGCAACAAGTCTCTTTGCACTAACAAAAACACTCCATCCTGTTGTAAGAAGATGCCTCTTGGGCTGACCTGCATACATGAACAGGAAAAACTAATTGATACTTGCATTATTCCTCACAAAATCATTGCACCCTCCGTTAAGTAGTTAGGCAGGACTTCACACTTCTCTCATAATCACCATACATATATAGAAGACAGTAAGATCACCTCGAAATATATGCCTGAATTTCCATTCATTATCATGAAGATCCCTTGCAATTAGTTCTTGAGCTGGAGGAGTTTGTGAATAATCCTGAAACAAAAATTAAAATAGAATGGTGAAAGAAGCAAATTAGATCCGCAAGCACAAGACATCATTAGCATCAAAAACTAGTGAATTATCAAATGTCACCTACAAGAGGAGGAAAAACTTTTTCAGCCGCTCGACGAGGAACGGAGAATCCTCCATGTGTGCTGGTATCACTTGCAGTCAATGTCTTGCAAAAATAGTTTGTTGGCTGTTTGCTGGGAGTACCCAACTCTGCAGGCAGTAGGTATACATCTTTTTGCTCTTGCTACAATAAAATTTTGTGTCAACACAAGAAAATAGTTATAACACTTGAAAGCTGATATCCAAAAGGTGCAAACTAACCGGACTCAGTGGTTGCAAGGTCATCTGTGCATATACTTCATCTGTCTCCACATCTGCCTATACATGCATAATAAAAGTTATAAGGAGTAGCCCATAAATAGTTTAAAGAATATGAGTTTAAAGAATATGTAATCTGAAAACACCAACAATTACATGCATAGTGACATTGTGAAGTTGACAGATGAGCTGCGGGGGTAAGCTAGGGTAATTAGGAATATGAGCATCTACTTCCTTGTTTGTCGAAGCAGCAACCTGCACAGGCAATTAAGAACCACTAACAATCAAACAGAATTCAGGAAAACAGAAATAATATGCTATGGAGGACCAAAAAGAAATACTAAGACGCAAGAAGCTTCAGCTACAAACAACAATAATTTGGTTCAACTGTTTCATACTACAACTATGGTTATAACACGTTCTGAAAGAATTTCAATATGAACTCCACCTAAAATCTAAAGAATATAAAAATCCAAGAAGCAAGCAATTTTCAGGCAAGACAACTGTATGCATCATGTTTACGATAATAGGAATCAAAGAAAACACTAAGAATTCATTATGTTCTAAGATTCAATGAATTTTCCATTCAGAGAAACTATTATTTATTTGCGTAGACAACTACCAGAAACAATCATCTCTTAAACATACATAAAAGGAGCTCAATGAATCAGACGAGGCTGCATTTGTAAGAAATTAAGAATCATCTTAATAACTTAACCATTTCTTTGGAAGGAGTAAATGATGACTACCGGCCCCAAAGGATTACATCTTTAGATTACAAATCATCAAACTTTCTATCTGTAGTAATTAAAGACCTAACACATGTTCTGCTCAGGCATCATCGAGAAGAGGCAAACTGTTCCTGAATAGCAAATGACAAACGAACGGAATAAGACACATTGTTACACTCATAATAACCTGTTCGCTGTGACCCTGGGGAAAGTACACAACACGGCTTCCCACAGGAGGCAAAGATACAAGAGGGCCGGCACAAGCATGCCAAAGCTCGGAATTCAAACATTTTTTCTCCCCTGCAAAAAATTTCCCATGCTCGTATTAGTTCAAATAGTACAAAACGTCATCACAAAGTTTAGACAATTTTGATCGAGAAAGCATAGAAGATCTACACAATGATTCAGGTTCCCACTACATAGAACATAAATTGCATATACTTCATGATCTTCATCACACCGCCTCAAGTTTAGCTACGCCTTTTCCACCCAGAACAACATGCACACACGCAATATCATCGAACATCGTATTTAATCCCCAAACACAATCAAATATCAAATACTTATTTTTTCTTTTCATCAAGAAACAAAAAAATACGCTTATTCATGGGACAGTAGAACGAGAGAGTAGAAAAAGGTCCAGCGTATGTGTACACACATGAAGAAAGGCTTGAGTCTTGACCGACACAAACAGAAAGTCAACATATAAAACAAACAGTTAAACATAGAGAACTTGAAGCTAGTACATGAAGCACTAACCTTCCTGAGTCTGCTGATTAAACCCCGACGAAGAGAGTCTCATTCTAAAACCAAACAAAAGCAAGTCCTTGAGTAACTAAAAACCAACACGTCCAAAAGAAGACAAGTTTTGAATCACCGCTCACTTTTCTCTATTTAACCACATTCATGAAAACCCACCCGCCCACCCCCCCCAAATACCCAGAAAATCCTCAAAGCTACTTCCAAACTCCACTGCCTCATAACCCTCAGATCTTCTCTACCCAAACCCCAATCCTCTTCTCAAATTACCACATTTTATACACAACACCCCAAACTAAACCCTAGCTTCAAGAATCAACCAAAATCCCAACCAAAAACCTAGCTCAGAACCAGATCTCGACACCTAAGCAAGCTAAACCTCTTATTTGAACAACTCAAGGCCAGTGAGAATCAGCTGAAGCTCAGTGAGCAGAAAATGACTTTCTATTTTTGGGATTTTGCTGTTTTTTTAAAGAGGGAGCTGAAAGCAGTAGGCAGAGAGAGAGAAACCCAAAAATAACAAATAAAAAGAAAAGGAAAGAAAGGCGAGACTTTGAAAGCGCTTTCTTGGTCTACTAGTACTTCCACAACTCTGCGATCAATCAATCAATCAATTAATACATTAAAGATTTCCATTATTATTATTATTTACGTATTTTTATTTTATTTTGAGGCAAACGGTACAATACCTGTCAAAATCCCTAATTGGCATGTACTGGAAAAGCTCAAAACTTTGAACCCTGTAACTTCTTCAAATTTATCAAACTTCAATTATTTTATTTCCCGAATTGAATGGGTGAAAATACTTTCTGGTTTCTACAGTATTGAGGTTGCAGTTTTTTATACGGGAGGAGGGGTATTGTGTAATTTTAAAAATTGGGAGGGTAATTTTGAAATGTGTAAGGCGTGTGGGAGTGGATATTTGAGTGGTGCGTGCTTGCGTGGTTGTAGAATCTAGTACTCTCTAGTGTACCGTAGATCTCCACTTGAGATATTTTAGATCTTTGTGGGTCCTACGAATATAGCTTGAGCCCAGAGGGTTTTTTTGTTTTTTTTTCATTTTCTTTTATTCGTTTTCCTCTTTTATTGCATTGCATTTGTTGATCTAGTAAAAATTATAATAACATTGCATTGTTAATCTAGTAAAAATTACAATAACGTTAAATCAACTATTTAACCACTCAACCTTCCCTTATAATCATACCTTCCCTTATGACAGCTCATAAATGGATAAACAGACGACCCATAAATGGATAAACAATATCTATTGATGAACTGTTACATTGCAGATTATGAAATAATGTTGTGAGATTGGGTTATAGGTCTATAATTACTCTAAAAATTATTAGACATATTGAGATAACATTTCCTTTAACTATCTTTGAGTGATCAAACGGCTCGATAAAAATTTTTGGATGTATTACTTAAGAGGTCATGAGTTTAAGTTATTTAACAATTACTAATAAAGGTAACACTTGAGCTCTTATCCGATGGATAGTTCTAAAGTCCCGAGAATTAACTAAGATGCACGTAAGCTGGCTTGAACACCTCGATCATAAAAAAAAAAATTCCTTTAATTCTTATGAGCTATTCATTTGTATTTTTATATAATATGAAATAATGTGGATTTAATAATATCAAATTATACAATATTGAATATTACAAAATGTTAATGTAAATGGGCATGTTTGTTATTTTTGCACTATCCTATCCAAAACATTTGGTTTCGTGTTCTAAAAATTTCATTCTATTTTATTCAATTATTTTTAAACCTCATAGGTTTGTTAATTTAACTAAATACTCCAAAAAAAAGTTTAGAAATTGACAAAAACACCCCTATCCACATTTTCCAGATTTCGACCACCATTGTCGGAAGGTGGCTAGAATCTGGTATAATGATGCACCACTGGCTAGATCTAGCCGGTAGTGCATCGATCTAGCCTTTTTTAGCTAGATGTCAAAAATAAGGCGACTCCGCCCACCCTTTGACGATGGTGGCTGGCTGTCTGCATTTAATTGGTGGGTGGAGGTGTTTTTATTAATTTTTAATGTTTTATTGCAAGGGTGTTTAGTAAATTAACAAACAGAGGAGGGTTTTTTTGTTAATTTGTAAATCCTACCTTATAATAACCACCTAACTCCCATTTGGTTCACTATTATTACCCTATCCTAATCCAATATTCTATCCTAAAAATCATTCTTAAAATTCAATTCTACTTTATTTAACTCAACTCAACTTTACTTTTTTCAAAATACTCTTTTAAAAAGCATTAGAATAGTAAACCAAATAGAGTTATTTTTTCAAAAATCATATCCAAAATAATAAAACAAACAATAATGCTATTAATATGAGGTTTCATGTTATGTATTGTTTATTTTATATATATATAACCAGGGTGTATGGGCCAGTTTGTTGGCATTTTAACTAAGGGCCCGAACGACTTGTGCATACCCAAGTTTGCCATAATGACAATTTGGTACCCAAAAGGTTTTGAAACAACAAATAGGTACCTTCTGTCATGTTCTGTTAGTGATTTCTGTTTATTAATAGTGAAAAGACTAAAATGCCCTGAAAGTTTGAATTTTAATTTTTTATAATTTAAAAATTTCTAAAAACCCCTCTACGTTTACAAATTTAACTAAATACCCACTATATAAATTTTTGTAAAATACAAAACATCCCGCGCCCCCGCAGTGCCAGATTCTGGCCACCACCGCCGGAATCTGGCCGGAAAGTTGCGTTACGACACAGACCCGTCGGATCTGTGTCGTAACGTTTCGATCTTACCTTTGTCGGCCAGATCTGCCACAGATCTGGCCGGAAAAGGCCAGATCTGGCCGTCGAAGCAGCAGCAGATCTGGCCTTTTCTGGCCAGATCCGTGGCTGATCTGGCAGGAAAATGCCAGATCTACGGCCAGATCTGGCCGTCGACGCCGCAGATTAAGTTTTGTGGCGTCGACGGCCAGATCTAGCCGTAGATCTGGCCTTTTCCGGCCAGATCATCCATGAAACTGGCCGGAAAAAGCCAGATCGACGCGTTACGACACAACTTTCTGGCTAGATTCCGGCAGTGGTGGCCGGAATCTGGCACTGCAGGTGGCGGGGGTGTTTTTGTTATTTTACAAAAAAATTATATATTGGGGTATTTAGTTAAATTTGTAAACCTAGGGGGTTTTTTAGAAATTTTTAAATTTATAAAAAACTAAAATTCAAACTTTTAAGGGCATTTTAGTCTTTTCACTATTAATAAACAGAAATCACTAACAGAACATGACGGAAGGTACCTATTTGTCATTTCAAAACCTTTTGAGTACCAATTTGTCATTATGGCAAACCTTGGGTATGTGTAAGTTGTTCTCCCTTTAACTAATCCCTAAAAATGTGGTAGATCAAGACCTCTAGGTAATTCACAATGATAGCTAAAGTATTGTCATCCGCTAATAGTTCATTATGTTTAAAAATCACTAATTCAACATTTGAAAGTTATTTAAATGATCAGTATTTAATATTTTGCATTCTTGGTAAGCTTGGTGTAATGATATATGTTACTGAGTCAAGTGAAATAATACAAAAGACAATGTAAACCAAAATTAACTTAATATTTTTGTGTGCAAAAGTACTACTTTACAATTCAATCTCAAAACATTCTCTTACAATCCTATCATAACAGCAAAGTTGGTACCACCACATCAATTGACGATTTTGACTAAACATGAACAGTCATTTTTTTGAGACAAACGACTGTTTATTCATAAGAAATGATTGTTTCATTCATAATAATGGCTGTTTTTTCATGAGGAGCAGTCATTCATTATGAATGAATGTCTATTCCTTCATGAAGAACAATAATTTCTTATGAATGAAGGAATGTTCTTTCATAAGGAATAATTATTCTTTATGAAGAAACGACCGTTCGTCTATAAGAAACAATAGTTCGTGTTTAGTCAAAATCATTTAGTATCTTAAGTGTTATGGGAGCTGATGTGACAATTATTAACTTAAGTGTCATATTGAAGTTGTAAGAAAAAGTTGTGAGATTGAATTGTGGGCATGGTATTACCTTTTGGTATAGAGTTAAAGACTTTTTCACACCCAAATAATGGTTTAATGACACTTTTTTACCTACAAACTTTTAAAATACCACTTGACTACCCAAATTTATATTCCAATATGAATAGAAAGCAAACTCGGTTTAGGCTGTTAGAGCTTTTAAAGAGGGGAGACTGATGAATCTTTTGATGGTTTGGAATTGATTAAAATTTGACTTGAGGGAGGTGGTTGCATAAACTCTAATCGCTCGATTATCAGCAATTGGCGGGAGTAGGGTTTGAAGGGTTTTGGTGAGTGATGATCGGGAAAGAGAACGGTGGTGGTGTAGGGTTGCAACGATGCCAAAATCAGAAACAGAATATAAATTTGGATAGTAAAGCGGTATTTTAAAAGTTTGTGGGTGAAAAAGTGGGTGGGAAAAAGTCTTAAACATTTGATAGCTCAAATATCTCTCTCATAATTGTTTGCTTTTGACATGCAAAAAGCGGTGATTAAAGAAATCAAAATAATATCAGATATCTCATGCCTTATGATAAAATTGACAATAAAATAATGATTTTGAAGTGTAAATAAGTATCTACTATGATAAATATTACATTTTGTCGTAGAAAATACTTTATTGAGATAAAAATGTAAGATGTATAATGTTGGATTTTGATACAAAAAATTGGCAGCAAAACAGCCGCAGCAAACCAGTGAAAGAACAGTAACGAAATAGCAGAAGAACAACAGTGAAACAACAGGAAAATTGTAAGAGAACCGCAGGAAAACAGCAGAGATACAGTAGTGATACAGTAAAAGAACAGCAGTGAAAAAGCAGGAAAAACAACAGCAAGAACAGCAGAGAGATAGTAGTGAAACAACAACGAACACAGCAGCAAGACAGTAGCATCAAGGTGTGCAAACGCACTGTCCTTAAGATCAGAATTCCGCCCCTACTAGAAGAATCTTCGTGGTGCAACAAGGCTCAACAGCGGATTGACCTCCAGGATACAATGACGAATCTTCTTTTAGAGTGCAAACTCTAAAAGAGATTTAGAACAATATAAGAAAAATAACAGTGGTGAAGGAGAGCTGGAAAGTTAAAAAACCACAGAGAAACAAAGAATTTCCAAGTGAAAAGTTGTGTTTTCAAATGAAAAAACCACCCCCTTTTTATACTTGAAATTCTGCCTGTTTCTCTTGCTATAACCGAAGTCAATCAATGGCTTTTAAAACCATAACTGCCCATTTGAATTGCAATGACTTGGAACAATTCAGTTGCCTTTACTACGTAACAGTCCAACAAAAAAGCAATCTTCAATATAATTGCACATAACAGTCCAAAAGCAATTAAAGTTTCAATTGCTTTTAACACATAACAGTCCAAATCACATAACAGTCCAAAGCAATTAAAATTTGGTATTTTGAAATACCATAACAGTAGCTTTTATCACAATCCCCCACATATTTCAAAATAACCAATCACCACTGATTATAGAATTTAATGTTTATGAGTTGGTGCCTTTCAGACTATAAACCAATCATTGAGTAACTAAACATGAGTTACATAAATTTGGTGAAACTAAGTTTCTATGAACCAAAATTTTCTTTATGTAATTCAGAGGATTAGTTCCTCACACTAAATTCTCAATATTGTATATTGTTCTGTGGTTTAGCACTTTATGGCCCTGTGCTAGCCTGGATTTCATGAGTGCTCTAGAGATGCCTGCCTAAGCTCTCATAGGAATCGACCCAATTCCACACTC